GACACCTGTCTTTCAAACCAAGACACCTATACTGGAACATACATTTGCTGCGAAGCTGAGCAACAGTGATGAGAAAACACACGGAGATAGACAAATCTGCCTCAATATTGCTGAATGCAGGTATGTGCGATGGAAAAGCTGCAGTGGTTGCAAACCATCCATTTACTTCAATGAAGTTATATGACAATTCACACTACCTGAGCATTTGCCCAAAGATAACTTTTATTACATTATTTTCTACTGATTCTGCCATAGACTGAGAAAGCTTTCAAAAAAATATCTGGTATCAATCATTTCAGCACTCTGAACACGTAAAAGCATCAAATTTTACTCACCACCAGGAGCAGATTCCAAGTTTTCATTGGCACTAAATCCATGCTTCACACTTAATTCCTCAATACTTTCCTCTGGTGATCTGCCTGTTTCACTCACTTGTGATGTTGTTACAGTAACATGAAGACTTTCAACTAGAGAGGAAAACATGCAGAATTACAGAAGCCCCTTAAATAGCTCCTTAATGCATAAATCAATGACGTAGAATCAAAGAATAACTTAGGTCACAAGGACTTTCAGAGGTCATCTAGTCCAACACCCTACTCAAAGCTGGTTGAACTAAACTGGGTTGCTCAGAACTTTGCTCAGACAAGCTTTTAACATCTCCAATGATGCAGACTTCACAGCCTCTCTGGGCAACATGTTTTCGGTTTTTGACCACTGTCACAGTATATAATTTTTCCTTTCATTTAATTGAATTGCCCATGTTCCAATTCACGCCTGTTGCCTCCCATCCTATTACCATGTGCCTCAGCAAAAAAATTTGGCTTCTCTGTATCCTTCTACTAGAAAGCTGAGGACAGCAATGAAATCCCACCAAGTCTTCTCTCAAGGCTGAAGAGACCAACCATCTCAGCCTCTCCTCAGGTGTCATATGCTCCAGCTGCCTAGTCATCTTGGTGCCCTTCATTGGATTTGTTCCAGTTTGTCAATGTCTCTTTTGTCCAGGAGAGCCCAGCACTGGTCACAGCACTCCACATTAGACTCATCAGAGGCAAGTACAGGAATGATCACGTCCATTAACCTGCTGGCAACTCCACTCCTAATGCAGCAGCCTGGGAGGCAGTTGGCCTTCTTTGCCACAAGGGCACATTGCTGCCTCATGATCAACCTGCTGTCAAGCAGGGCTTCCAGGTCCGCTTCTTCAAAGCTACTTTCTACCCAGTCAGTGTCCAGCCTGTACCAACACATCAGATTACTCCATCCCAGATGCAGGACTTTGCACTTGTCTTTGCCTAACTTCTAGGGGTTTCTCTTATCCATTTTCCCAGTTTGGAGAGGTCTCTCCAGCACACTGATCATCTCACCTCATTTGGTGACAGCCATGAATTTGCTAAGAGTGTACTCAATCCCTTGGTTAACTTCATTAATAAATATGTTGAACAGTATTGCTATCAGGATCCATAGCCTAAGGAAATCCTCTAACAGCATGTTGGCAGCTGGACATGTATCACTGTTCACAGTCCTTTCAGCCCAGTAGTCCAGACTATTTTCCACCCCATTACACAGTCCACATCTCACTGGTTCAGCTGTAAGAATACTACAGCCAGGGCAGACAGTGTTGCAGGCTTTGCAGATGTCAAGATAAACAACATGCACTGCTCTGCTCTCATGATAAAACCCTTCAGGTTGGTCAGATGCAATTTGCCCATGCTGGCTGTTCCCAGTCACCTTGTCCTTCATGTTCCTGGAAATGCCTTCCAGCAGGATTTGCTCTACCATCTCAGAGATGGCAGTGAGGCTCACTACTTTATAGTTCCCTACATCTTCCTTCTTGAAGAGGGATGTGATGTTTGCCTTCTTCAGGTCATCTGGAACCTCTCCTGATCACTCTGACCTTTCAAAGATGATAGAAAGCAGCCTCACAATGACACTGGCCAGCTCCCTGAGCAGTCTTGGATTTAGCCCATCTCATCTCACGGATTTCTGTATATCCAATTTGCTTAAGCACTCCCTAATTCTATCCTTCTCTACTGGAGCAATGCTTTACTCCTACAGAGTCTGCTATTAGCTCAGGGACTTAGTATTTCTGTTCTAGAAAATGATCCCCACAAATTGCCTTGTAAATTCCTCACAGTGTGCTGACGAGTCCTGAAATCCAAGACATCATCCTCATCAACACTAACATGAGAGTAAGTGAAAATTAAAATTGGGCAGAATAAGGTGTGTAAGTACAGGCTGCCATTTTAGCTAAAATGACATTTACTGTTGCATCACTAACTTATATTCCTTAGTCAAGTTTTATCAATTTTATCAATAAAATGCTCTCTGACTTCATAATGCTGATGGAGACCAATCTTCACTGCTTTATTAGTTGAAACATGGTAATTAGCCCAAACGTCTCAATTTAGGTGATGCTAAAATCTTGTAGTCCTTCTCAAAGAGCGTATGGCCCATGCTGGATACAGCTTAGTTTACCAGGACTCTCTTCAGCTGAGTTTAGCAAGAGTTTAGCTGAACTTCCAACTAGGCACTATCCACAGATACCATTCCTGTCCTTTCTTCAGAAGACAGCACTGTAGGTAGCACAAGGCTATCACCTCTCTGTTAAATAGTATGCAAAAAAACATGGTTCCTACAGCAATTCTGGCAGATGTTTCTGGTCAGATCTGCCAAGATCATCTGCAGTTTTGTCTGTATACGACCCTACGTGATTCTGATCTGTCATCAAATCAGCCAAGGTAGGTGAAAGTCATGGACCAGATGCAATATCATCCTACCTCCTATGATATGCTTCACAGGGCTGTACTGCAAGGAGGACAGATAAGGAAACAATCCTCAGGTGCAATCTAACACCATGTCCCTGCCTTCTTACATATGATGTTATGCACTAAACACATTCCTTATCTTATAATCTGGCAGGACAATCACGCATCTGACAAGTATAAACTTGAGAGACTTCTCTTCAATGCCAAGTTTTGACATTGCCATTTCTTAAGATTTGACAGACTCGCAGCACAAGGCAACACGGCTGTACTTTGTTACCTTGAATTGTCTGTCCATGTGAAGAGCCATCAGTCCACTCTACTCACCTTCTCTGAGTGCTGCTGCCAGCAGTGGAGCAGCCTGTGGAGTTTCGCCAGAATCAGGTTTGATAAGGAGGTGAGGTTCTACATGAACATCCTCAAACCCGCTCATATGTCCCAGTTCTGCATAGATACGCAACTTGTCTTCCAAATAGCCACATATCTGCTGGTCCTGGTTACTCAGTGATTCTGACAACAAAATTGGACACTGTATTAATAATTTTTATCCTACATGTTCCCCATTCACCCTTCTAATCCTTACACCACATAGGTACGGCTAACTTGAGCTAGGCCTTTTTTTTTTTTTTAAGTGGCCAGGAACCAAATTCATCCCAGTCTGTCTTAATGAAAGCTGCACTGACTCTGGCAGAGGACCAGGCCAGTGCTCTATCCTGATGAGGTGGCCTTGGCTGTGCTCTGGGGCCCTCAGCTACCTTCTGTTGCACTTACAATGATCAGTGCTGGAAAAGCACTTGGCTCAGGTAGCCAGAAGATGCACTGATTCAGTGCCTCAATGTCAAAGAACACGTACTCTCACCAGAGGATGCCCTTCCCTGTGGCTCTCTACAGGAAGGACACTGCTAGAATTTCTCTCCTCACAGCAGTGTAAGGATGTGGAAGTTAGGTGTAGGGGAACCAAGAAAGCAGAATTTATCCCTATCAGCTACACTTTCAGGTAAAAATAATACCAGCAAAGGATGAAATGCCACAAAGAAGCACAAAGCTACACAAGATTACACATTACTTAAGACGTGAGGTATTTCCACAAACATGGAGTTACCTGGCCTTGATGCTAATCTGGGAAATTCAGTGCTTATTCTGAAAGCATTCATTTTTCTTTTGCTTATTTACTCACAGTTATGCAGCAAAAATATAAAGTGTTTGGTGAAAAAATGGTCCTCTTTCAATAAATCCACACTATATCATCAGACCACCCCAGCTTTCTCTGCTGTGACTCTCCTATCAAGCCACTCTGAATCCACCAGCCAGTATGGGTGCACGATTCACTCATCCTGAACTCTCAGGATGCAAGAGCTCTTAGAGTGGCAGGAAACGTACCACACCTTGACATTTCTGAATTCTGGATGCTTTGGCCTCAGCAATACGTTTGTCCTCATCAGATTCACTCATTTTTCCTTCTTCTTCTTCCTCCGGACAACTTCAAACATGAAAGACAAACAAAAGTTTATAAAGCAAAATCTACACATCATATATTCATATTCAGTACAGTGCTGCATTCATAATAAACAGAATACAACATCAGCACCAACTTTTGCTACAATCCAGAAGCATACCATTTTTCTGCTTCTTTAAAAAGCAGTAACTGGACATAAACCAGACTGAAGGATCCTTTTAATTCTGGTAAGGTTGCATCGTGCAGCGAATGGGTGGCTGGCCCTCACATAGGTTTGCTGTGCTAAGCATAAGCTTGGGCCCCATAGGAGCAATGCTTTGCCTGCCATTCTTAAGGAGCTGACACCAAGGTAACAGGCATGATTGGGGATTTCCCCAAAATGGTTGTATGGACAACTGCAGGACTCCAGAAAGCATCCAGTGCCAAAGGGAAGCTTACAATGGCTGGTAAGGACATCTTCTGGGGAGTGGGAAGGGTCTGCTGATTCAGTGGGAAACCAGAAATAATACGGGAAGTTTGGCAGAAGTAATGGTGAGGTTTTGGGGTCTGTGAATCCTGATCTCAGAAAAAAATCCAACCTCACAGGATGGATCCAGTGCAAGGCAGAACAGAGAGCACGCTGCCTTGCATATCCAACCGACCTCCCATCTGCTTTGGACTGCCAAGATGAAAACCAAAAGCCTTTTTTCCTCTACCTTTCCACTGCATCTTGAATACACCTCATCCAGTTGTTACGTTCCTCTTTGGAATTGGTATGAACCTCATACATCTCAGGCCCTGCAGATGAAGCGCTAATCAGAAACATCCCCCTTTCTTCGTTGGCTACTTCTCTTACTATGAGCCTCTGAAGGGAGATAATGGAAGGCTTCTGGTCCTGGGGGAAACAGTCAGAACACATGCATATAATAAATTACTCTCTCATAAAACAGCATACTTTTAGAAGAGCATGATTTTTCAATTAATTTGACTAATTCTAGTCCTGGTATAGTCAGACTACATATGTTCTTACCACGTACAAGAGGCTGCAAGTTTTGAGTATTCAGACACCTTTCTAAACTATTTTTAAAAAGACATTCTGGTATTTATGAACAAATGGGCACTTACGAACACTGAGCATGTACTGAAAAGTAAACCCCAAAGGCTCAATGATACTGAGACACAGTATTCATATAATGTTTATATAGTTTGAGAACTTCTCTCCATAACCTTTCACACATTTTATGTGTGTTTACCACGACATTTGCTGTTAAAATTATTCTTTGGTTTTGTTTTACAGAACCAGAAGTTAAAATTGATTTTAGATAATTGAAAGAGCCTGCTCTACTTCCTGCCTTGATAATCAGATGAGGCATGACACAAAATATTATTCTGTTATTTTCATCCTTCTTCCTAAAAAAATTATTTAATTTTGAAAATAAACTTAATTTTCCACATAGTGGCATAATACTATTCTGAATACACTAGCAGGATCTCAGAAAATTCTAAAAAATTATGTGGGAATAGCCTATAAAAGGACTTAATTTTTGAGAAATGTACAAATAAAGTACAATGTGTATATTCAAGATCTGATAATATACTTACAACAGCTGCAAAGATGTATTTTTGATCTTTCTCTTGTAAGAACAGTAGTACATCAGTTAGAAGCAGAGCTAAGGTGTCTTAAAATGAGAAAAGGAAAATAATGGGTTTTAATTAAAGTTATTACAATTACAGTTAATTTAATATTTTATCTTTAAAAAAGGAGAAGCCCTGATCAATAAATACACCACATAATCCTACAGTAAACTGAACAGGAAGTATCTGGATTAACCTACGGTCTGCATGAAGGAAGTGCACGTCACCACTTTGTATCTCCCAGGAAAGACCACACTTTCTGCTATCTAACATCCTGCAGCACCATGCTGGTGTGCTGGCCCAGGGAAAGAAGAAATCCTCACTCCATTGTCAGTACAGCTTCACCAGGCCACTCACAGGCAACCTGGCAAAGACTATTCCACATAAATTTTGTTTTGCCTATGCTGTAACATATATTCACAGCACAATATTACACAGGCAAAAGTATTTCTGGAATAATGATGAACAGCTAGCTTTACAAAGTTGCACAGCAAATATTAGTAAGCTCCAAAAAAACCCGACCCCTACATGTGATTAACACCAAAAATCAAATTCTGGGCTTGCACATAAAAATTGGTCTCCAGCCAAAGGTAGCTTCAGGTTTTCTTTTCCACTGTGGATGTCCCACTACCACTGAAGACAGCATATGATTTTTCATCCACTATTTTCAATGGCCAGTACTGTGAACAACACAAATGTACAAGTCAAGACCCTGTGTTATGGGATGAAACTTCAAACAAATGAACTAAAAGGAGGGGACTGGAAGAAGAAATGCAGCTGATGGCTTTGTATGAACTTGTCTTCTTACCCTTATATACAGTGGATTACCCACAAGCTTCTGGAATTACTCTTCTAGCAATCAGTGGCATATTCTCAATACCATTACCTCAGACATTTGTGTTTGCAATACAGCGTAATAAAATATTTTCAGTCTTAAAAAATAATCTTCTTATGTCATTCGCAATAAAGAGTCAAAGTAATTCACTGCTCAGATGGAATACCTTTGAAACGACCAGTTGCTGTCTTCCAGTACACTAAACCTTCATGAAGAAGTATCCTCTCTTTCCTCATCAAGTCTTGCTTCCTAAAAACATGGCCATTTTTCAGCTTTGTATATGTTTTGTTTTCAGTTCTACTAAGAATTTCCAACAACTTTTGCTTTTTCTCATATTCATTCACTTTGAAATCTACGGCTGCAATGATGTCCTTAATTAGGCGAAGGGCTTTGCACAGGTCTTTATGTTCTTCTGTTCCTTCTGTATGAAACAAAAAATAAACATGATGGCAGTCAGCATATTCAAGAGAAGATATCATTCCTTACTTTCTGGGAACCATCAATATGATGCAAAGCTTAAATTGATAAATATGTCATTTTAAGTTGAACCTGGCAAACAATTTACTAGAAGTACTAGAGGCATCTACCTTTGCTTGACTTGCCTATTAAAAGACGACATGTTCTTCAGATTTATTCATTAGTCAAAACAACACATTGAATAGTTTCTGACATATTTATGAGCTGTTAGCATTTAAAAAATTTTACTGGATAAGTGAATCATACAGTATATTACTCTTCCGGCTAAGTAAAAAAAACCTCCTTGAAACAGGACTGCAAGCGCAAAGGGTTTGTATTTCGATATGCCACTTTCTACAACGCTCATTTATTGCCCATTTGGGGAGTAATGCCTGTAAGTTAGTAGTATTTCTAAAACGTTCTACAAAATTCCAGAAGTCATTCAAGCTTTGTTTGAAAAACTAGAGAGTAATTTATGAAATGTTTGCCTAACCCTACTTACAAAAGACTCCACCAGAATTAATTTCAAAGAAGGTGCAGATGCATGCCTGAATTGTTCACATCCTCTCGTCAGATCTTTTCCTAAAATAAGCATGCTTTTCTGGACTTCTATGGCTTACCTGTCTAGAATATTTGAAATCTTCACAGCCCAGCCTTGACAAAGACTGTGTACACCAGACACGCTGTTTAGGTGACATTTGCCTGAACAGTAGATATTTACGTTGCCCCGGTTCTCTACAGAGCTGTGAATTTAATCTTTTGTTATATTGTAGCAGTGCATATTCCTTACGTTAGAAATGCGCTAGGATTCCAGACATGAAGCAACACTTCAGCTTTTATTCACCTTTTGAGTATTGCAATATCCTTTCAACCAGAACAGGGTATTTGGTGATTCGCTGGGTGACAAGTAAAATGCACTCAGGGATTCCTCGGCGTCGTGCCAACAGGTTACTATTTCTCAGCTGCACAGATACAAATATATGCCTTAAATAGTAAATGCACATTAAACCACCAATTGAATAATAAGAAATACGATCTAAATGCATTAGAATAAGTTAAAACAAAATGCCTGGTTATCTGAACCATCCCCAAGGAACAGTTGCTGCCCTGAGGGATGAGGTGTACTATAACAGGAACATGTGTGTAATACACACCGGATGCCAAGCCTTTCTAAAATTTGAAAGAAAAATGTAATTTATCAGCTCTCTGGTTAAGGAGGAAAAAAACTTTGCCATTTTTATTAGCTATTAAAAGTGAGTTACTAAATATAATTTCAATCCTAAATCTAAGGAAAAGCTACATAGCTTTTTCCTAAGCATTTTGTTAATAGTGATCATATTTCCACACAAACTTACTTTAATAAAATTCTGGAACTTCTTGTTTTGTTGCAACTCTTTGAAGAGACTAACAGCTTCTTTTTGATGGCTGCAAAACTCTCCATATATTTTCTTCATTTTAGTTGCATTTTCCTCTGAAAACTGAAGAAATTAGTAAGTGAATTGTGCTCAACATTGCACGTAACAGGAAAGCATATACCTTTAATATATTTTGTACAAATATGGAAATTTTACACTACTTGTTTCTCAAGTTCTCTGAAATTTCACTAACAGGGCCTGTTGCTACAGAATGAAAGTGGACTAGCTGTTTTTAGCAGCAAGAAGAGGAACATAGGCTGGAGAAAGCACAAGCAACTTCTGCTACAGTCCTGCCAACAGCTAGAACAAGTGTTACAACAGTGTTTCCTTTACCTCTTTGCAAACACAATCCCTTTGAGGATTATTTGGATTTGTCTGATCTCCACACTGCTTCTAGACAAAGTAACAGTTCAACTTCTTTATTTCAGTGGAGTGAAAACGGATTGACTGAAGGTGAAAAGCCACACTCTCCTGTTTGCAAGGAACTGAAGTGCGACCAGCAAGCAGTTAATTAGCTGTTCTATGGCCACCATAAACTCTCCGCGACCACCCCTTCTCCAGTGAGCAGCAACTCAAGATGCACCATGTCAGACCACTACAAGAAACGAACGGTAGTTTCTTTTCCACCATCAGCCAATTCTTCACACCTCCACTCAGCTGCTAAAAAAGTTAATCCATTGCTTCCATTTTTTCCAGTCCATGGTATTAGGGCAGCAGCCTTCTACTGTGAACAGGACCAAGTTCATCACTTTCCATGTCACTTGCACCATACAGGTAGAAGTTCATCCCACGTTCACCAGAGTTACCTGGCAGTAATGACTTTCTCTCATTGCTATTTTACCCTCCAATAATCTGGAGGGGACAGTCTTTGAATTTTGCAAGGCAACCATAGCCCTTTTCTTGCCCACAAAAGTTTTAAAATAAAAAAAATTGTTTAATTTGGGAACCTTGAGTACATGAAGGATTAACAGAGCTGATACCTCTACCTGCATCACAAGGATGTCTCCAATTCTGCTGATGACAAAATTATGTTCGCTCCCCGCCTCACTTGATTCCTGCCGTCTCTCTTTCATTTTGCAGAAGAATTGCCTGTGCATCTCCAGTAGCTCATCTAAGCAGGGGAATATTCTGTCCACTGTGCTGTGGTCCAGCTGCAGTTCTTCCTTCATCCCTTTCCTGAATATTTCAGACATAATTAACAGGGTATGGATGTGATGCACTTCTGTTTGCATCAGCTCTGCAGCATAAAAGAAAACAGCATAGTATAGCAACGACCTGAACACTTTGCAGAACTTCTAAGATACACTTTAGCAACATTTAAATATACAGTCATAACCACTGTTTCTGTGTAAGCCTCAAACCTAATACAGTATGTCAGCAATTTGTCTGGCTCTGGCACAGTTCTCTAAGCTGCACCCCACTGAACAAGCTGGGGTTGCTATTGCTTGAGATGGGGATTGGATGCAGTCCCTTCCAACCTCAACTGTTCCGAAAACAGGATAGACACGCCTCTGTTAGTCACTACTCTCAATTTCCTTAGCTCTAGGACTCATTGTGATTTGTGACAAAAATGTTCTTTGAACCTTCTTATTATTCTGAGTTGAAGCATTCATTCTTCTGGACATAAAACTTGTAGGTTCCCTCTCCATTTTCTACACTAAATTGTTTTTAAATCTACATGAAATACTGACCAAAAATTACATCCTGCCTCTTGATGACATCCTTTTCTTGCTGGCTACAGAACACTGGATCCACAAGAAGACTCCAGGACTCGGCCTCAAACTCTTGTGCATCTGTGCAAAGGTCAGTCCACTGAGACAAATCCACATCATCTATGACAAAATGTACATCTCATTAACACCAGGCATATGAACATGCAGATCTATTCATGTAGTAAGGGGAACACACCACGGGGACGAACTTTAAACAAGGCTTCTGCAAACATTGGCAGTGACTTTACAACAGAGCAGCTTGCCAGATGTCAGTATCATTACCAAAGTGTTGAAATGCAAACGTGACAGCGGGGGAGAAGAATTTAAAAAACCACCCTTCTTTTCTCAGATTAAATTGTTTTTATACTTCTTTGCTTGAAGAAACTTTTTAAAATTTAAAAATAAAATCCAAGATTTACAAAAGTAAATGTCCAGTGAGAGATACCTGCACCATCTTTTGTAAGTAAATGCCATTCAGCTTTGAAATTCAGTCACACCTAGCTACATAAAAAGCCTATTTCTATTCACTTCACAAGGATATGTAGCCATTTTAGGAGGGCAGTTCATCACTGGGAGGTTAAGATTTTAGGGGCTCTTGAGGAAATAAAAAGTGATGCAGGTTTACATTTTGCAATGTACACTGTCAATGGAGATGATTAGATGAGTGCAGAAGAAAAGTACATTGCTGTTCTGGTTCTGCAATGATGCAAAATACATTTATCCCTGCTATTTTAAAACAGTAACACCATATGAAAACATTCTAAAAGTTATCAAAGAGTTAGTTTACTTGTCTCACTCAGAGTTAGTTATCTTACACGGAAGAAAAGAAAAGTTATATTTTAAGATTAAGGTGCCTGATTGTAACATTTTAGTGAGGTACACAACTGTAATTATCAAAAACAGGTGCTCTTCTTCTAGCAGACAAAGTGGCTTCCTGTACCAACTAAGGAGTTTTTCTGTTTTACACTTTCCAATACAGGTTATAAAATGCAACACCTGTGCAATACTTCTCACCATCCATCATAAAAGTATCCATCGAAGAAAAGGTCCCTAATGCTTGTAACATCTCTTCAGACCATGACTTGGACCTCCAGGTGGTAGTCTCAGAGTCTTGTTCAGAAAACTGCGTAGATCTACAGCAGAAAAAACCAAACCAAACCAAAACAAAACCAAAAATCCCACATTTATTTAATAGGTTCAATTTTTCTAGAAACGCTGAATGATGTATTTAGCGTAGTCCCCCAGCAGCTTCCCTCTACCTTTCAAAACTAGCACTGGGGACGCTTTTGGACAAGAAGTGGGACTGTTGCAAGGCTTCCCTCCTTCCAGAAGACAGTCCAATAGGCACAGAGGAAGAAGGATGCACCAGAGAGAGCACTGTCCGTGAAACATCTCCAGGAAGGGAATCTGTGAGGCAAAGCACAACACAACATTTTGACAAACAATGTAGAGTACGTCATCAACAGCACTCACACTGAGAAATGCTATCTGATCTTCACATCGACTGGATATCAAGAGTGTCCACTTGCCATGGTACGAGACCATGATGCTCTCCCATAGAATACAAAGATAAGCCTGTAGGCAAAATAGAATAGCTCCAGCATGTACATCATTGAGAAGAAAATCTCAAATCATATGTGCTCTAGCACTGCAACCTGAACGCAAGAGACCCAAATATCTGTGCATACAGTAAATGATATACTCAATAGCACAAGACAGAACTGACCGCTTCTGATTTTTATTCTCACTGAAAACAAAACATAGTAAAATTCCCACACATTGTAGTAGAAGGTGAGTTAATTCAAGAGTACTTTCTGCAAAAAATCCTACTTGTATTAGAGACAGACACATTTTCTTACAGATATTGATTATATGAAAAACAAACACACAAATGATGGAGGAAAGTTCGTGTTGTCAGTTCCATGACTTTTAACCAAGGCTTAACTTAGAAGTGCTAGGTTTACACCTCCTAACTTACTTGTTACACCAGCTTGGGGTTTGTTCTTACTATGGTACCTCTCCTGGAATTTCTGAAAAAAGAAGATTTTTGTGAAACTAATGAAATCATAGCTGATAGCACACTGAACAGTCAAGTCAGTAACTCACTTCCATATATCATCACATAAAAGGGCTTCAAAGAAGTGGTCCTAAATTATGCTCCTAATTTCTACCAATAACTAATAAATCTGAGTTTATTAGTTATTGATAGATAACAATAGTCAAACTAGAATGATATTTTTTGTACTACAATACAAAACTGCATCTGTATATTCTAAAATGAGTCACTGAGTTACAGCATTCTGCTTTCTCTATCTGATTACTGCCTGTGAAGGCCACAAGAAAAGGAGCTGACATTGAGGTATCAGAGGCAGAATCAATCCCCCTTCCAAGGCAGACTTTTGTAAAACCTGTAGCAGAGCCTGCTGTGCTTCGGCACATATTTCACTTGAGGTGGATTGGTGACATTTTTTGCACCTCAAGCTTGTTAAGATGAGTCGAGGCTCTTGTCTCCTCTTGACAAATAACCAGCCTCGGTAATTAAAACTGCCAGTTCGGCTGTCCTAATGCCCTAAAGTTGCCCAGAAATCTGTGCAAGGCTATGACGTGACAGCTATAACCAAAATAAATAAAAACATTGGACTTGTGTCCAGTTCAAGGCTTGCTTATGCTGAAGAGTCTGTATGGAAACATGTTCTCCATGCAAGCCACCATGACGCAAAACCTAGCTACACCAAAAAGACATACTCGACTAAACTGAAATATGACCTGTATCACTGTGGCACACTTCTCTGCAAGTCCCATTTTATTTCAAGAGGGCAGAAGCCTTACACATATGGTTTTGAAAATTCGGCCTTTGTCATGATAACCTCACCATGCATGTATACCTATTTAAAACAAGGCAGTACCCATCAGCTCTAGTGCTGATTTTGCCCTGTCTCCAGTGGCAGCTGAACACTGGCAGCAACTGCCTAGGCAGGCTGTGGAGTCTTCTCCTCCAGAGATTTTCCAGAACAGTCAGACAAACATCTGCCCAAAATGTTATCTAGAAGTGAGCCTGCCCGAGGGGTGATGAGATGGACTACAATGGCTCCCAAAGTCTCTTGCACCTCTGCTTTCCATTATTCCAAACATATGGGATCCCCCCTTCTACACAAGGGGCTATCTGTGGTTTTGAGAAGCCTTTCTTTTTAATCCCTTTTGCATCCCTCCAGGTACACCATTTCACAATTTCAGCTTGCAAGTCTTCAAAAATAGAAATATCTCTTTAAACTCATTTTTGACCCTCTCCTAAAAATTGTTGTTCAAGCACAATGTTTGCTCTGTTGCTCACATTAGACATTTTGACAGCCTTGCAGCCCTTTGTAAATAGACACTGGGTCTCAGCAGGCTGTGTGTACTTTCGTTTTCCTTCATGATGTTTCCAGACCCCTTGGAAAGTAGATATGCTCTAGTAAGAACAGCATGGTATAGGAGATTACCTTGGTGCACACAGGAGCACAGTCCTTGCAACTCTTATGCACAATCACGTTGCAATCTGAAAGAGAAGACACAACAGGGTGTCCAGCCTGCAGAAAATGTTACTCTGAGGCTTCATCTTCTTCCCTCCTCCAGATCCACTTACTCAAGTAGCCTTGAGGATGCTTTGGCGTTACAGACCCTGGTTAGGAAGAAGTTTTTGCCTAATGTGCCGGGGCTAGGAGATGGTCGTGCTCTCTTCTGAAGCTGTCACCTGCCATCCTTCCTTCCTCTCCCTTGCTAACCTCAGCTCATTACAGAAAGGATATACATCCAAGTCCAGGCAAGGTTTCTTTTTGAAACAAAACACTGAACCAGGATCTCAAAGCAGGATGTGGAGCACTGTAAGTTCACACGCGAAAGCCAGCAACTACTTACGAGAGCACTGCACTGACTCCTTTCCTAGGACAGCCTTTTCACACGCCATACATGGCATAACTCCTGAGAAGGTCCCATTCGTAAAATTGTGCCTGTTCAGTTTCTCTTTGTCTTTGGTATCTTTACTTTTTGTCTTCATCCCCAACAGGAGAGACAGGAAAAAAGGAAAACAAAAAGGGACATTACAAAAGATAAAGTGATTCAATCTTAAAAACACTAAAACATTCACTTTCAAGAGCAAATTATTCTAAAATATTTATTCCCTGTTCTGGAAGACTTGTAACAGTATACTGTGTCATTACATCCAACATTGCTGAAGCCCTAAAACGACGCAGGTGTTGCTTTTACTGCCAACTAAGCCATCAAGGCTTTTTATTTATAAAGCTGCAAAAAGGGAAGGGCCAGAAAATAACATTTAGGAAGTGTTACTGACTCGCTGCACACACAAACAAATATCAATGCCTATGCCTCCCTGAGGCATACATGCAAACTTATGCCTCTGTAGTTAAAGCTGTAGTTATGTAAATTGACACAACTTGTCTTTAGACCTTATAAGACATTAGAAATAACCTATTTTTAATGAGTGTTAATGAATTTAATAAATTCTGCCTATTTTTACTCCTGTTGGTGTGAGTATACACTTCTCCAAGCAGCCCTGGTAGTTATTCTTTAGGAGACCACACGGACACAGGCTAATGTATGGCTGCTGGACCAGACATACATGTTCACAGCCAGTTCTGCCACTCTTGAAGATGCCACCTCAGCCAACCATCTTCATGTCCATGTACGTTAGGATATCCTGGGGCACAGAGGAGATACTAGAGAGCCTGCAAAACTGCCAAGAGGCTAGCTGGAAAGATCCTGTAGGCCAAATTCATCTCTCAAGCTGCTAATTGATGCCATTAACCTAAATTTCAGATGTCTCAAAATTAAACCACAAATGTTCTAATCTACCTTCCACAGTATGTATGTTTGACTGTGCACGCCTCAAATCTGCAACTCTTTAAACGGTGCTTACTCATGCAAGAGTCCCATTAACTTCAAATAAGGCAAATTCAACTGATCACGTGCCAATGCAGAAGTTACAGATTCAATTACTTACTGAGAGTAACTGTAGGAACAGGCCCATACCTCTTAATTTTACTTAACAAAGTAAACTATTTCTTAAAGGCAATTCATACATTTAAAACTTTCGCCAAATTGTCATATAAGATTATTAATAACATCAAAAAATGGCATGGGAAATACTTGATACTGTTTGGCTAAGGCTATTGTTTAAAACAAAAGCTGGTTTTTAATATGAAGGCCATTTCAGGGTATCATGCATACATTTTAAAATTAAAAAATAAAGATCAAAGCTTCTTCCTATTACTTACATGGTTTTGTAACAAACAACAACTTATCTTTACATGAAAATCTAGATTCTCATCTATAATTCATTTAATTACAGTAACATAATTATACATAATAATACAGACATCAATCCCAAATTACCTTGCACTTATTCCGTGTGCTGGTCATTCTGTTCATCAGAAAGCTGAAAGTCCGACTCACTTTACATTTTTCAGACTCATTTTTTGAGGGTACAATATACTTATTCCATTCCTCCTCCTGAATCCTAAAACAAAGACCAGTGAAAAAAAATCATTCCAGTGAACAGTCCCTTAAAGCAGAATCTGGACGGTGCTTGTTTCATGTAGCATGTACAATTACATGTTTTACTGCGGGTTTAGCTGACATTATTAAAAAGACTGCAATCCCTCTTTAGAAAAAGGAGTAACATTAGCCCATGGAGTGCTCTGGATATGCAATCTGTTACAATCTTGCATAGATCATGGTTGGTACCAAAAGCCCCCTTGCTTTTATCACAGCATTTTGGACACTCCTACAGCAGGCAGGACATCCATGCAGTGTGCACATCCTGCAGCGGGGCACCACCAAGTCCCCACTTCAGGTCGTGCATGATGAGGACAGCACAGAGGAAACCGGGCTGAACTCAGCACAGGGTTTAAGGGTGGGTTTACAGATCCCGTGGGCAGGGAGCATTGCCCGAAATCACTCCTAAAAACCCCGCTGAAAGGGGTTCTGAGGCCTCTTCCCCGCTCTGCTCCCTAGATGGCATTCTTGCACAGACCTGCTCCTGGCGCCTCGAAACGCAAGGGCGACAAGTACCCCTACCTTTTCTCTCGGGATGGTTCAGGCAGACTGTACGCTCGGTCTGCAAGACATAAACAGTTACCCGGCACTCAGATTGCAAGGTCATCAGGTTTATTTGAAACACACGACCTCCACCAGTCCATAAGCTTGTCATTAAGGGCTTGCAATGCCATTTGAAAATCAGGAAAGCAAAAATGTATATACGTTAGAAGCAGCTTTTCCTAGGGTAAGACCACTGCCTACTAAGCTTTGCTTAGTTGACAGAACTTGCCAGAACTGAAATGGGTATCAGTGAATCAGTCTCTGCAGTCTGTTTTTAACAACAAAAAAATACTTAATTTTGTTTTTCTTAACAACCCAGACTCGAATGATTCACACTTCGTTTTGCTCTTAACATAATGCATTGTAAAATATCTTAATGACATTCTTCTAACATGTGCAGTTACCCACCTTAGGCAGCTTTATCTATAGAATCAAAGAATTTTAAATCACTCTATATAAAGAGGAATATTACTAGTCTACACACTGCACAGGATTTGTAATGTGTTACAAGTTTACATCCTAGAAACAGTAGAGAGAAGTCAAGGAGATACTTTTCAAAAAACTGCCTAAAAAAGCAAAAGAAAAGATAAATAATTCAGTTGGGCTGTTTTGGAAAAAAAAAAAAAACACACACCACCCTACAACTATAGAGACCACTCTACCATTTCCAAGTTAGAAGCCATTCTGTTTTGCAGACATGCTTTGCAAAGTTACCACAGGTACAATTCAGAAAGATACTTAAACACCTGCCTAGGTCAAAGCATTAGACTATGGCTTCCTTAGATACACACTTAAACAAGCTTTGCTGAATTAGCGTGTCTTCAGACAAATATAGACTTCAGGTTAGTGAGAGCTAGAATATTTACCAAAGAAGCAACAGGAATAAAAGGGCATTTCAGTTAGCTGTCAGGCACAACCTTTGCTGCAGGATGCTTTTGGAAGAAATAAAGGCCATGTACCCACGGGAGATGAAGACAGCCTGATGCAAAACAGTGCCATGGAGTTGGCATCGAGGTACTCACTACAAGGGTGGATCCAAGACACTGATTTAGAGGGTGAAAGACCCTGAAGGAGGGATTGACCATTGTTCATAAGCACATCATCTACAGAGCAGGGACAAATCCTTTACTGTTACAGCCTGGTAATACCTTCTCAAATAAAAGCAGGTAGTTTTTTTAAACCTGAGCATACATCAGAAATCGATGGTGGTTTCCCACTTTTTTCTTGTACTTGTGCGAGAAAGACCATCCTGTTGCCATCCCGCATTCATCTGCTTTGGTTTACATTTCATTGCAAGGTCAGCTGCACCTCCCTCCTGCACAGCTAAGCCCTGAGCGAGATGTCCAAAGCACTTGCAGCTGGGCACAAGGGAAGGGGCAGGTTTTCAGTGCACAGACACCTGCACAGACCCAGACACAATCCCACTACAGCCCACAGAGATCAGGATGAACTATCTGACCTAGCTTCTTGGACCAAGGTCTTGGGCTAGTCCCATATCCAGATACAACCACACAAAGTGACAGCAGCTGTGCCGACCTCACACAGTAATCGCCACTGCCAGCTGCCAAACACCCTATTCAATGCTCCCATCCTCACAAAATGCTGGCAAGGAAGGGATGAGGCAGGAGGTGCTTGTAGCAGGGAAGCATCAGCAGGGACCTCAGCAGACCACCACACTCCCTCCCCAGCAGCACACCACATCTGCAGTGTGGGCTGCAGAACAGCCTGTTTCCAAAGCGTGGACAGGAAAGGGTTTCCACCTTCTCTGCAAGACAGGTAAAGGTCCAGCACTGACTGCCCCAGGAGGAAGGGGAGAGAGAATGAGCAGGTCCAAGCCCAAATCAGGTCAGAGCAGGTAATTGTGTCTGGATGAAGCTTAATGGGCTGTGACACCAACAGTCCCTTAGCTACAAGGTCAAAGGAATTTGTTTTCATTTTAAGCACATGCTGCAGGGCTTTGCTGATCTGCCATCCTTTACTTCTGCGACACACTTCCCGCTTTTCCTTCTGCCTTGTTTTGCCAAAGACTTCTTACCTAATATGCTGGACACAAATTATTACAAATACATTAGTGTAATAATTACTTATTACAAATACACAGCTGCATGCTGCAGGCTGCAGTACATACTCCTCCTTACAAGAGGACATGAAATCTTACAGTGAACTTGATCAACCACAAACAAGTTATTTGCAGCACTGCTTAACACAGTTTCTTAAGGAAAAAAGATGTCTGTTATCACTGTATGTCTGCCCATCAGCTTTCTCCATCTCACCTTCCCAACAGCTTTTGAATTTGTTAACTGGTTTCAAAGTTAACAATAGTATTTCCACAAATTTTGTGTGTTTTCACATTCAGTGTCACAGAATCACAGCATGGTTCAGGTTGAAAGGTTCAAAGATCTCCTAGTCTAACCCCCCTGCCATGGGCAGGGACATCTTTCACTAGATTAGGTTGCTCAAAGCCCCATCCAACCTGACCTTGAACACTTCCGATGACGGGGCACCCGCAGCTTCTCTGGGTGTCCATCCCATCTGGTTCACTGTAACTCACATGCCCTGCCTCTTGCTCAGGACTAGCGGAAAGCAGCTAAAGGTATATTGGAGGAAGAGACAAGCTGGAATAGGGCAACAGACAGGGTTACAGGGCCAAGTCTCTTGAAATAGAAGTGTGTTTTAAGTGATATGATCTATATGAAAAGCACAGTATATGTATCTCACACTTTGAATGGTTTTCAAATATAACCCATGCCCTCACTCCAAAAAGTATGAGTTGTCTTCTAAATACGAAGCTATGTGCCTACAAATAGAAACAATTTGTAAAAAAAATACAAGCTGCTTGCAGACATTTCTGTCTCCACTTGATGGAGAGCGTACATTTTGTTCCCCAGCCTGTGGAGGTGACAATAGTCCATCCATTTTTCAGAGATTCCCTGGGATCTACAGAAAGCTGGGGCCATCCACCCTCTTCTGTGTCATCCTGAGCTTCCTCACGGCCTCTGCCGGCACCCAACATGAGGCTGGGGAAGGATCTTCCAAAAAGAAGATTGCTGCCCTTGCCTGCGTTACTTTTTCTGATCAATGATCTTCCAGTTTGTGTGCCCTCCTGAGGATCAGCTGTGTATAAAGGGAGGGCATGACAGGGCAGTAGATAGGAGAAGAGCGAGGGGTGATGGTAGGGGTACCCAAAGGCAACCAAACCCTGCTTTCATGCGCATTGGCAAGCTCTGTGTTCAGGACAGGCCCAAATAAAGCCATCAGCACTGGCCCTGAAGCAGGCAGGCATGGGATGAGGCTATGCAGGTGCAAAGCCAGCACACTGACCTTCATTTGAATTCCCAACTGCGAAGTCCTGACGAATGCAAGGTCTCTCTAATAAACCTTTAGGTGATGAGTAGGAATAGGAGCGTGACCGAATCCCAGACACTATGCATTCCTACAAGAAATTGCAGCAAATTAAAAATTGTGTCATTTTGAAATCCATCAGCAACAGAAACAAAATAAATCAGTGACAGAATTTCTGAAAGACAGCTGACCACACACACATGTTTTCTTGCCTTCATTAAAGCTTTAAGTTGAAGTAGAATTTTTGACGACTGCATTTGAATTCACAGGAAGTCTGTCATAATTCCACCAGGATAATTTTTTATATATTACAGGAAATAATTTGTGGGTACAAGTTAGACTTAGAGACTAACAGAAAGTCTATATTCTTCTCCAGTTTGGTGGCAAGCACTATCCAAACAGTGTTGTTGGCCACTATATCTGATGACTAAGCTATCTTTTTTCACCAAGGCAGCCAATAATTTTAGTACTTTAATACCTTGAGAACACTTCATGGAGACTAATGCCCTGCCTTGGTAATTATTGATGTCAGAGTTTCCAAAGAAAGGAGTTAGCCTCTTTCTCTTTTCTCTCTGCAGTTTGTGGGGTTTTTTTTTTTTTATTGTGCGTGAAAAGATCTTCCAATCCCCAAATACGTCAATGATAAAGCTTGAAAGGAAACCCCCTGATTTTTGGTATATCATTTACATTTTAACAGAGCCTACTCCTAAAGTGCTTACCTTAATGGTTTTAAAAGTAGCCCTAACAGAATTCAGTGTTTGTGCTGCATTCTTTTTCTCCCTTCATGTAATCATTTGCTGAAGGTCAGATAAAGCTCTACAGTGGCAAGAAGTCGGGCTAATAAAAACAAAGAATTCTACAAACATAAAATAACTCTATGTATACATCTGAAAATATCAGAAATGGCACTACAGTCTAATGAAAAAGAACATAGCCAGGATACTTTAGAAAACCATAATGAAGAGGAGAGATTTGCACTGGTCTATGCACAAAACCCAACTGAATTTCTCTGAGTCTAGCAACAGTTTCAAAACAGGCGGCACGCTGGTTTTATACTTTACAAAGCTGTTGCCCTTTCACATAATTACAGCTAGTTAAACATTTCCTCACTAAACATATTTTGGTTAGAAAATGCTGATTCACTGAACCTGAGATAGTTCCTTTGAAACACTTCCGATAAATTAGGCTTTTTTCAAAGCTGAAGTGAATCTCTGACAGACCCTTCTCATGGCTGCTGCCGAGCTTGGCCACAACCAGGGAGCTCTAGCTCCACAACCCTGTGTGCACTGCTTTCCAGAGGGACTAGTACTGCCAACCGGGAACTAACTTCTCCCCTTCACATTCAGATGCTTCTTACATGTTTTCAGTGATTTACTTGTAAGAGAAATAATGCAAACCAAGCTAGCATCAAATACCTTGGGCTGCAGACTGGTAGATAAATCAAATCCATCTCTGCTAGAAGTCATGGCCTCTGAGGAGCTGAGGGGAGGGCAGTGAACATGGCATCTGTCTGAAACACCTCCACTTCCACCATCTACTTCAAGGTTATCGAGACTTGAACTGAAGCAGACAACAAAGTCCTTAATTCTCATGAACTCTAGTAACAATCCACCTCAACCTTAATGCAACAAGCAAAGACACTGCTGTATACTCTGATCAATGACAACCCAAACCACCATGATTATTTCAGGTAAGTCACACTCTGAGTCCCCTCTCAGGTTTGCGGTCACCTGGTCAAGGTACTCAGTCACTCACAGAGTACAGGACTTGTCTGACCCAACCTTGTGGATCTGCAGTACAGACATTTGCATTACACAGACTCCCACCACAGTCAGCCACCTCTGGAGGATGATTTTCAAACCCATGCTCAGAATCTCCCTTAAAATGAGGTGTTCTGTTCCACACATGTACCTACCTCTCCATATAGATGATAAGGAGAACTGAGGCAAGTAGGTCAGATTTCAGTATTAAGGTATGCAGGTATATATGGATATTTTGTGTGTGTCTGTGTATTTGACATCTTTTTTCCTACATCTGTGATGGAGGATGGAAAAGAAAACTAACAAGAGAGATGGAGGGTCTGAGACAGTTTATGAGACTCACTTCAAAAGATATAAACTTAAAAACATATAGGACTATCAACAGACTGAAAATCTCTGGCTAAATCAATACTTCAAACACTCAGAGACTATTTGATTGGTGAGGGTTCCTAAGTACAGTAAGGTTTCTCAGCAGCACCAGGGTTTTCCAGGATGGGTCCCGTTAGCTGCAAGAGCAAGTTCACGGTCTCTTCATCAGAGTGACTGGAAGGAACGGTCACTGCTTGCAATAACATTCCAGCCTTACAACTTAAAACTTTAAATTATGTGTGTTATTTCTAAATAGCCAGAGTCCCCACCAGGAATAATAGCACAACAATTACTTCACACACCACTACAATTCACTTCGTCAAAGGGCAAACCTATCGATACTGTCCAAAACTACTTCCTTACTACACTTCCAGAGACCATCTTTCATAACGTTTCCTAGTAATAGCCCACGTGATGTCTCAGCAAGAAGTTAACTGCATTATCAGTTACTGTCACATTTTAAAATTGGAAAAGCAGTATGTGTCCATGTCAACAGACAAGCATACGTGTCTTACTGAGGGTAACTTACCCAGGGAATTTTTATGACATAAAAAGCTTGTTTAATGATCTGCTAAGTAACTTGTCACATCACCTCAGATACTCCAAGAAAGGTGCTGCTGGAATTCCATACTGATACTCTTACTTTATGTGTAATACTTGGATCACTTACAGTTGACATAGTAAAGTCAATCACATCTCTCTGAAACTTCATATAAGCTCTTAAAGCTCAGATATAGGTACCTGACCTAGGTCTTGAAAAAGGTGGGAAAACCTAAAAACATAAGGGAGAAAACTGTTTATGACAGAGAGGCAGAAGAAGATTATTTATAGTAATCTAGATGATATCACCGTAGCTAGCAAAAATAAAAGGTTTGTGAAAGAACAACTCTTAGTCTGACATTTGTCTTACCTGTGTTAAAAGATTCCTCTCAGTGGGACTTTATAGTTGCATAAGAAACTCAAAACAAAGGTAGAGAAAATGTTAATGCCCACTTTATTCAATAACCAAAGGCACTATGCTTCCTTACTGCTTTTACATAGATCTGATGCCCTACCTCCAACTAGTCCAAACACTCTTGAAAGATGGCAGACAGTTTCAAATTTCCTCCTGCACAAGAAGGAACTGATTTCTTGTCTCTTCTATCCAGACAAGCAATAAAACCTTTTTATCAAGGAAATTTACTAATCATAAAAAAAAAAAAAAAAATTCGTAGTTTCATCTTCAAAACTCTCTGCATTCCTGAAGCCAACCAGTTCACAGTATAACCTAAAACCGTGTGGAGGAGGGTCCTCAGACAACTGGCTCTGCTGTCAGCAAAGCTTGTGTGACAGCAAAAAAAGCAGAAAACAGTCTGAACCTATCAGAAACACGAGCTTCACTCTGCACTGTGTCTTTTGAAGCAAAAAAATATACGCAATCAGAAATAAGTTGGTCCTTCTACGGGCCAGTGCAAAGAATGGAAAGATTCCCAGACAGTTCAACATATTTTGAACTGTTTTCTTAATGGAAAATATAACTGAGAAAAACAAGGATGAAATTCTGGTTTCTGACGAAAACGCCACAATAGAAACTTGTACAATGAACAGCTGAATCTTTTTTGTTTTTTAAAGAATACATACAAGGAAAAAATGTTTGAAAGTATAAATTTGCATTTATACTTAGAGGACACCTTTTATTTGTTTAAAATTACTTCATAACTTTTATGAAAACAGATCAATAGGACAATTTAAATATCAGTGATTGAAAACAGTGCTTTTACCACAGTAATTATATTTATAACTCCAAATTCTGCTTCATCTTTCGAAATAAAAGGTTAACATAAATAATCCTTATTCTGGCCATATCATCAAGTCAATTCCATACCTTTTTTTTTTCACGTCAGTATAAAGTTGGCCCCAATCCTTAATAAATCCATAGGTCTTGAATTGAAGGTATGAATCTGCTCCACATGGATCAGAAGGTGAAACAGTATGTCCCAAAGCTGCATTTTCTCCCTTTTTCATCGGCCTTCGATTTCCTTCATTTGGAACACACATATATTGATCATTCTCCTCAAGGGAGGGAGATGAAGAGCTCTTAGCCATCGGGATTGAGTTGGTGGGATTCAGACATGTTTCACTGCTGCCATCATATCCATGAACATAGTTAGCCTTTAAATCTCCAGCCTGCAGAGAAAAAATGAGTGCTGGTAAGAGGCAGTAACACAATGTATTGTCAAGGAACACGGACCAGATTAGTTTCCCATTTTATTTACAGTTATGTTTTGCCTTTTTTTTCCCCTTTTTACAGCACATGAATTGAAGGCAAGTTATACGGCTACGAGATTTTAGACCCTGCATTACTTTTTTCCATAATTAGAGTACAAATGAACTAGTATTTGCAAGTCTAATAGATTTCTCACTCATATTTATACCTTTTGTTAAATGTATTGAGTCATATATTTATAGCTTTTATTAAAAAATATCCTTGAGTTGAGCAAAAAATATGTGTAATACATTAGTGTGTGAGACATATGGAGGAGAACTGAAACACTGTGCAATTTAATTTGGAAAAATCAGCCTACAGATCATGCACTTTTAATTTTCCAGCACCAATTTCCTAAGCTTTAAGGTAAATATACATGACCTGGAGCAGAGGTTCTCCACGGGAGCAAGGGAAAGGAATCTATTTTTTGCCATTAAGCAATTGTGGGCATGAAGCACACCTCCTCTTTGGAGTGAGGTTGGGAATTACGTTTTCTCAAGTACAGGAATCAGGATTTAGACCCTGCTAACAAATAATTCTTTGTGCAACTGAAGTTGAATTCTCCTGTCAACTGCAGAAGATATTAAAATACAGTTCACTGTCAGTCTTTTAGTTAGATGCTACTGTCATCTATTTAGATACTGAGTAAAGCTGAAAAGTCATACAGCCAGTGAAAACACTCAACCTTCAAAAAACATCTCTATAAAAGCAAGAAGAAAGGAAGGATTGCAAGTGTCTCCACTTTATAGGTCTTTCAGATTGCCAACTTCCTCCTCTCCAGCCCCACTTGAGATATGTGTTCATCCCCATGATAATGAAGTTTCTTTTACTAAAAGACAGAAAGAACTGCCATCATTTTTACAGCAGCCCACATTTGCGTTCAAAGATATGCCGCATGCAAGTCTAGAAGTACTTCTGTTGCATTGTGCGTATAGGGTGCACAAAGGTAAAATGCTTCTCCCAGGTCTTACACAGCTGGTCCTCCCTTAAAATTTATTCTTGAAGGACCTCCTTTGGCAGCCGCTCTGGCTCCTGCTGCATGGTGCTTAAGGGAGCATTTGGCCACAATCAGCAATTTAACAAAGTTGAATGTGACTACGTATTCAGCAAAGGTTAGTAACCCAAGCTGAAGGACTCTCCAGCAATATACTGGGGTAACATCTGCACCTGTAACAGAGCTGCTCTTCTGGGGCTCTGTCCTTCCAACCTGGATATTCTTAAAATCAAGGGTTCACGGATTGCATATATAGCTCCCTGCCAGTTGCTTCCTCCTAAGTCATTATTTCATGCATCTCTCAGTAACCTTAGGTGCATTTTGCACATGCTGGTCTCTGACTGAAACTTCCATCTCAGCTGACAAAACAAACTGGACCTGCAGTGAATGCAGTGGCTGAAGTACTTCAGGGAATGAAAAAAAAAAGGGGGGGGGGGGGGGGGAGAGCTGTGAGCCTTCTTCTAACATTATGATCTGATCATTTCTTACTCCTACATTCCAACCTTCACCACAGGGACAGCCCACAGCAGGTTACAAATAAATAAACCACTTCAGCCATCACTGAAACGCAGCTGCATGCCACCAGAATTTGGCAGTTGTTCAACTACACACAACCGCTAATCACAAGACTTAGACTAGGCGCCCCTGCCCAAGTTATGGTATCTGAGTGCGACCATAGAGGGATTTCAGGTGCAACATGGTGATATAAAATATAATTTGGTCTGGACACTCTGGCTCATCTCCAGTGCTGGTGACAAAGAAATCAGAAACATGAATATTAAGTCAGGACCTCCAGCATCAGAACGTTCCATGCTAGTTATAGGATATTAACTTCATCTTTTCAGCAACATCTCATTTTGTTGAGCCAATAAGCTTATTAACTTCTGAAATTAGCCAGCATCAGCAAATTTGTCTCTTTCATGAATGCACATAAAATTCAGAAAATCTGAAGTCCATATAGGCAAGTTACATTGTGTTTATGCTTCTTAGAGAGAAGTAAATACCATTCAGCTCACAAACACACAGAAAAGAGCTGCCTTAGATTTCTCCCTACAGGCTAGGAAGTTTAATTTGTATCATCAACTGAATCTGTTAACAGGGACCTCATAACTGGATTACGAAATACAGCTGAGAAAAGTAAGATAGTACTGCTTTTATTTTAGAGCTTTACTAACTGGACACACAACTGATAGATCCAGAAGATCCTACTATGATGCAAATAAGTTACTTTAACAGAAGATGATGAAACATCTGCCAAAGGTTCAAACACAGGCTTACTTGGTCTACTACCATGCAGTTTGCATATACTTCATCACTTCCACTCAGAATGGCAGAAAGTCTGGTTCCAGCAAATAAAGTAGGTGGAGCCTTGAGTTTCCTGAGAATATCAAGGGTGGAGTGTCTTTGCTCTGGAAAAAAGAAATTGTGGAAAATATGCCATTAAAACTCAAACTATTTTCTTCTCATGTATATATACTGTCATAAAAATGACAAAGTTAAAATATTAAGTACCAAATCTTAGGATTACAATTTAAGTAATATTTGTATGGCACTCAAAAATCTGCCCATTTTTGGCAGATTTAACTGCCTGACACTCGCTGTATGTTCCAAGAAGCCTATAGTTGACAAGGCTCTGAAAGGTACCACAGAATCATTCATGTAACTTAAAAATAAGTGTTCCTGTATTTTGGTTAGCAAATCCTCTATTTTCCACCTAAACTACAACTTTGTAGAGATCTGTGGTCACAGAAGTACATAGGACAAGATTTACGGGCGGGGATGAAATATGCATGATTCTGGCCTATATATCAAATATCTAACATCTGATACATTACATTAACAGAATACAGTTCAACTGCAGTCAAATAATGACTCTCCTAAAGCATTCTTCCCATTGTGAGCAAATTAAATACCAATCTCAGACGAATAATGTGGATTATTGTTCTTAAAGCAAAAAAAAAAAAGGCAACAGAACTGTAAAACGGATATAAATAAAATACCACTAACAGTGCCTTTACAGGGTGACAGCAATCAACCAAGATTTGACCCATGAACAAGACATGTGGGATGAAGACTGCATCTGATCTCCTTTGGTACCAAGATGAGAAATTATTAGTTTCACAAGAAATCATTAACAGAAGTTTAGAGTTTAGTTTTCAATAGTGTGTTCATAACTGCAAACATTATAAAAAGCTGCATGGGTTGACTGTTTATTTCATGGCTTTGAGCAGCAGAAAACCTAACCAAGTGCTACAGAAACACTGCCATTCTCTCCTGGAGGCCTATTTTTCTTAAAGTTCCTTCTGAGTATGAAAAGCATGCACCAAGCCAGAATTTGAGCTGGTAGTCAAGGCCTCATATTATCTTCACATTGTAAAAGGAGTAAAATTTGACAAAGTGGAAACTATTCTTGTTCTAGACTGTGTGAAAACAGGCTAAACAAAAAATGACAGTTGTAATGTAATTTTCCTTATTTTAAGAAGCTATAAGTCAAGCATTGCCATTGGAAGTGAAATGGGATAGACTAGCATAAGAATGATGTGATACAGAAAAGTATCACACCCAGCAAAATATCCACAATCAAAACTCTCAATAAACTTCACTACAATTTATCTGTTACTGGAAATTAAGCAAAAAATCCTTCTTAGTCTGCATCAGAAATTTATTTTCTGCAAAGGTGGGAAAGGAAAAGATATCACTAAAGACTTTCCACAGGCTATATTCCTAAAGCAATGTAACTGCTTTTGGAAGATTCATGGAATACATATAGCATGGTTTGGATTGGAAGGGACCTCTAAAGATCATCTAGTCCAACGCCCGTGCCATAGGCAGGGACATCTTTCACTAGATCATGTTGCTCAAAGCCCCATCCAAGATGCCTATGGCCATCAGATTGCAAGAAAAGTTATAATGAAGAAATGGCACTAGCCTAGAAACTATACTTTTCAAGGTCTGCGTCATTTGTTCCTTTCCAAAAAAAAAAAGTCCCAGACCACTGCCAAAACTGCAATGCTACACCACAGCTTTTATTTAATTTTAAGATACTATCTCATAAAGCCAAACAACAGTAAACTCTATACTTAGAGAAAACTGGAAATTCCCATTTAGAAATGGCAAACTATGAATTATTTGGTTTCTAGTCCTGGCAGGCCTTGTGGGATCTCATACCATTAAAACATCCTTACGCTTTTCATTTTGCTTCTCCCTCCTGCAAGAACTTTAACATGATTTTAGTGCCTGCCACCTTGAGAACTGCAAAACCTACAACCATTTACTTATGTCTGCCAAGATCCCAAAGCATTTGTTTATAAATAGTATAAAAGCATTGTTTTCTACAGCAGTTCATCAGACTTCGGTAGCTAAAATCATATGGAAATGTGATTTGGCAAAACTGGTGGTACTTTCTTGTGGTAAGTAAAGCTTTCCAAGGGCTGGTCTTAAACCAAGAACAAAAAAGAAAAAAAAAATGTTAGGCTCTCCATTGATTCTTTTATGCTTATTACCTTCCCCAGCACACGCTTCCTTTCGAATATAAACCCACTGGCTACAACTGGAAAGGGCAGTATGTGGCTCCAGTGCTAGGCTGCAAAGGTTCTACCTTGAAAAACAGCCCAGGTGTCAGGGATTCCCGAATCACAGTGTAAAATTCAGCCTATGGAGACAAGTTTCTTGAATTCAGCAACACTCCCATCACTGGAGTCTCTACAGCCAGTTAATGGCCTGTGCTATGAAGTACATGTCCTGAGCCAGAAACAACAAAATCCCCCTATTACTTCACATTTTTATGTATAGAGCAACTTCTAATACCTCATTTTACATTATTTTAAAATTATCTAAGAGGGTAACAAACTAGTAACAACTTTTGAAGAAAGCTGCTGCAAATACAACCAGATTTATCAGAATATGTTATCTGCAGGACTTTCCTTTCCTAGTACTTTACTCCTTTGGTAAATCTTCATTGATTATCACTGCTAAATGCTGTCTGTTTTTCTGGCGATGCTCCAGTAGAGAGGCAGGGGTCGGTCTGTTCTCCCTAGTAACAAGCAACAGAACAAGGGGAAACGGCCTTAAGCTGCACCAGGGGAAGTTCAGGCTGGATATTAGGAAGAATTTCTTTACTGAAAGGGTTGTCAGGCATTGGAACAGCCTGCCCAGGGACGTGGTGGAGTCACCATCCCTGGAGGTGTTTAAGAGACAGGTAGATGTCGTACTTAGGGACATGGTTTAGTGGTGTTGGTAGAGCTAGGACAAAGGTTGGGCTCTATGATCTTGAAGGTCTCTTCCAACTGAAACTGTTCTATGATTCTATGAGATGGCTAAGTAAATGTTTGTTGGGGGTTTAAATGAACAGACAAAACATAGCAGGTTATTTTGGGCTTCATGTTGCAATATGACCCCACTGTACCTCCTTACTCCCACTCTGCCCCCCAACTTCAAACATGAATGAAGGCATGACCACATCAAACAAACTTTGTAAGAAAAGAAGCATTTAAAGACTTTACTGAATGCAGGGGAGAGCATTATTACACATTGACTGTGCTAGTAACTTATTTCCACTGGACAGGCCCACACAGTTTAAAAAGTGACAAAACCGTCACAAACATCCACATCACACATTGCATTCCTAGAGCCCAACTAATCGCCTCCAGTTTGCCTCGCTGGCTACAAGTTGGTTTGGTCTTACAGGAATCATCAACATACCTTCCTCCAGGTTAACAAGGCAGCAGGTAATAGCTCACTGCACTGGGTATGAGCTGTAATATGCAGCAAAGCTGTCCTTGCCTGAAAGATGAGTACCACCAACAAAATGCATTTTCAAACCAAATGACACAAAAATCTCCCCCACACATACAAAATGCTTATTCTCATTGCAGATGTAAAACTTCAGCACAGCTGAAAGGCAGACAAGACTACCGGGGCAAACTGGCACTTCTTGCAAGAGTGAAGTGTCCCAAAGAGTTTTAGCTCTGAAAGGTGTCAGTAATGGACTTCAAGATGCTTCCTAAGGTAAAAATGACCTGAATACAACACAGCAGAGTTGGCTCTGGTACTGAAACAGCCCAGCAAGCACAGCTCACCAAGTTGATCCTCCTGACAGAGCTGAATGCTCTCTGGCTGTATACTGTGCCATGACCACAGAAAAAGAATAAAATAAAGGGATGTCTCCCTTAGCAGAGCCTGTGACACTCTCTTGTCTGCCTGGTAAACAGTTGAGAAAGATGTATGTAATATTTAGATGTAGGTGAACAAAAGCCACAGTGCTGAGAAGGATAATCTCCAAACATGAATAACTAGCCACAAGTACTCTATGGCTTCTGTAATGCTGTCATCGAAATTATACAGCAAAAGATGTACATTTTACCAGGCACAAAAGCTTATAAAGATACTTTAAAAAAAACACAGGATCATCATAGCAGTAATTCAAAACATGCTTTATGTTGGCATAAGAAAATGTACAGCCTTGAACGACATGTGTCAGAAAATGACAAGAACATTAACACTGACTGTTTTTCCACAAAACCCAAAACTTAAATCATTCTATGAGAGAGCACACAGAAAAGAGAAGTGAAATACATCAACATGACCAAGCCAAGAGCCAGGAAAGAAATTATAAATTCCCTTCCCTAGATATAATGAATAGTTTTTAGACAGCTCATCACATTTACCCCCAGCAATCTGAGCAGGGGTTAATGTATAACTTGAAGTAACAGAGCAATGAAGTCAGCAAAAAATGCACACAGCTAAGTGCATGGGTCATGCATGACTGCAGAATACCCAAAATCCAGAAGTGGTCACCTGAATTTGGAGAAACAACTCCACACGTTCGTGGCAAGGAGCCGACCAAAGTGACATGCACATCAGTAGATGTGGACCATACAACCAGTTTCAATGGAGGATCTGCATCCCTAACTCAGGTGTCTTAGTGCTTCATCCAGACAGTGCAGCTACTCATGACAGCAAAATTAAGCAAGTATGTAAGAACAGCATTACATGGAGCGTAAAGCAAGGCAGGCTTTGAAGTGGTGTTGTCATAAAGATGAACATTTAACTGCCCTAAATCTATGGAGTGGAAACCAAAGCGCTGTGTTTCCTATATACTGTGTGAAAAGGATGAGGCATCTGGATGCTAGAAATCATACCATCATGTTCAAGATGTGGTCCTAAAGTAGTCACTAAGAAACACTGAAGATAAACGCACTTGTCAGTCATTGACATTGATCTTTGTAACCTAAACGTGGAATGTGAGAAAGTGTTCTTTCCAACACGGGATTCACAGCTCTGACTTCCCTCCCTGAAGCAGGTACCATACATACTACACAAATGAATATATAAACAGAAATCAGTTGGTGTCTCATTTTATACAACAGCACAACAGATAAAGTACTTTCCCAAGATATGGGATGCTCGG